GGCTCTTGAGTGTCATCTTGTATTCTATATTCCATGGCTCTTGAGTGTCATCTTGTATTCTATATTCCATGGCTCTTGAGTGTCATCTTGTATTCTATGACAAACGTTCTTAGGAAGAGCAATACGTTTCAGCAAATTATTTATTTACTTTAGACTTTTTGTTTTCATTATATCCGCTCTGAATTTTTTAAGATTTTCCCGAAATATGATTATCAATTTATCTAGTATAAAATAGTCCTCATATCAATCAAGAGCACATGGAAGCCAAAAGTGTTTTCTAGCATGTTGGGTTATCATTTCAAAACTTTTAATCAGCATTCTTATCATATCATCATAGAAAAATTGTGAATTTTTTCTTGGATCAGCAGTCAATTGGTCAATCATAAGACTTTTATCAAACTTGCAAAACTGATTTTTTTAAAAAGCATGAATATTTGTGTCATTTATTGGGATATCCCAAGTAACACCACCTCCACGCCAAATTATTCATAAATTTTTTTTTAACAAACATCTTTCTCTTCTCCACCGTAAGGATTATGTGAATCATTACGGTGGTGGTAGAAGGGGCATTTTATTGTTTTTTATTATTGGAGGATCAACGGCAAAGTTAACAATAATAAATTTTTTAACAGTTCATACATTTTTTATGTACTTGAAAATACTTGAAAATTCTTCTCTTTTTGTTTAATTTGAAAGCGTTTTGTTTGTTTGGTTTCCTTAAACTTAATTTTTAAGTTTAAAAAAAACGAGGTCGGGTTGCAGTATATAATGTGCTTTTTTTTTTTTTTTTTTAATATCTTTGCTTTCAACAAGGCTGAAAGCAACCACTAATTAGTGTTGGAAGTTACTGGAAGAGAAAAGATGAAGATTGTAGTGCAAGATAACGATTGACAGACGACTTGAAAGATTGCAAATTATATGAATCAGGAAAGCAAGATGAAGGAAGCGAATTCAAAAGAACTGATGTTCGAGGAAAAAAACTAGACGAATAAGAGTTTTTGAAGCACTTAGGAACAGTAACAGAAAAAGGATGAGATTTAATTGAATGATGAGTAGCACGAGAATGAATTTTAGTAGATGGCACAAGAGACGCTAGCTCTTTAGAGCAGTGCCCATTATAGTATTTGTAGAAAAGAGAAAGAGAAGCAACATTACGATGTTAATAAGCAACGGCGATGTGACAAAGGTTGAAGGTTGGCTGCAAGAACAGGTCTAATTATGTTTACAATGCGTTTTTTCACCTTGTCTAGAAGAGAAAGGGCATCAATAAAGAGATGCAACTTTAGCAGATGCTAATTTTGCAACGGGTTTGGTATAAGGTTTCCAAGAAAGATCAGAAGTAAGAGTTAAACCTAGAAGATGAAGGGTATATGACTCATCGAGTACATTACCGTTCATAAATATAGGAAGGTCTAAATTATTGCGATAAAGATTGGCTGAAAAAAATTGAGTTTTATCTGAATTATAGTTCACCAGCCACTGTGAACCCCATGCTGTAGCAGAAATAATATCCTTTTCAAGCTATAATGCCCCCTGCAAGCAATCAGAGGGAGTTGGCTTCTTATCGTGACAAGAATAAATGGTAGTATCATCGGCAAACAATGCCACCTTAGATGTGAGAATATCTGGAAGATCGTTAATGTAAATTAAAAAGAGTATAGGGCCAAGAATTGAACCTTGAGGAATCCCTGAGGTTACAGAATAAGAAGGAGAGTGCTGTCTATCAAGGACAACTTTTATACTACGATTGGAAAGGAAGGATTTGATAATCTTAAAGATGTTTCCAGATACACCGTAAGAAGAAAGCTTATGGAGAAGACCAGCATGCCAAACTTTATCAAATGCTTTAGAAATGTCAAGAGCGATGGCCTTAACCTCTCCACCTTTATCTTATGCGCGATAAAACCTATCGGTTATTACTGTTAGCAAATCAGCCGTAGAATGAGAAGATCGAAATCCATATTGATGATCAGAAAATAGGTTGTTAGATTCAAAATTAGAGATTAAGTATTTGTTAATTAAAGATTCAAAAACCTTGCTTATGATAGTAAGAAGACTAATGGGACGGTAGTTTGACGAATCGGATCGCTCTCCATGTGTGGATTACAGACTTGCCCTTATTATTGATACTATTAAAGATTCTCCAGAAGTCACGAGAGCCTAATTTTTGTGATGAGAATAGCGGGCTTTGGCGTTAGACAAAACCTTTTTACAATGGTTCCTAGCAGTAATAAACAGACGTCTGTTTTCTGGAGAATTGTTTTGTTGATAGATATGGAAGTAATGGTTTCGATTGGCATTTGCAGCCGTACAATGTTAGGTAAACCATGGAGAAGAGTAAAGCTTAACCTGGAATGGTCGAGAGGGAATAAAAGAATCCATACCAGCCTGAATCCACGAAGTTATGTGAGAAGCATATTTCTTAACAGGAAGACGAAAGATTTCTACCCAAGGGCCATCACGAAGAAAATCACGGAAAGAGTTCCAGTCAGCTTTAAGGTAGTTGTAAGATGTACAATGATAGGGGGATGCTGATGATAAAGAAGAATGAGATAATAGTTTTAGAAAGATCAAACCATGATTGGAAGCACCTAAGGGTGAATGTGGAGAAACTGAGCACTGACTAAGATCAGAAACGAGACATAAGTCGAGTTGAGAAAGTAAATGATTCGGGTTGTCTGGAAAGCGAGTTGGAAAGTTGACTATTTGAGTTAGGGGTTTGAGAAAGGCAAAAGTTGTGGGCTTTAATGCCTGCAGAGTCACTGACACTAGAGCTAAGCCATTCAGTGTGATGAGCATTAAAGTCACCGACAACAACAATATTGGCTGATATCCATCAGCCAATAACAGCCAAAGAGAGAGGGCTTGGTCAATTCGATCAGAAATAACATCAAAAAGAGTGCAGTCTTGAGATGAAGGAGAGCGATATAGAACAAAGAGAAAGACGATAGAGTGAAGTGGTGCTAAACGAAAGCACATAAAAGAGTAGTCTATGGATTCAAACGTAGTTTCCTGACAAATGGGTGAATTCTTACAAATGTAAATGCCCAGGCCAAGCATGTGACTATTGGAGTCTTTACGAATTAAAGGGAGATAACCATCAACACTAAGATCGCAAGATGAGACAGCTGAACTCAAATTAGTCTCACAAAGAGCAAGTAGGTCTGGTGAACTTTGCAAGAGATAAGACTCAACAGAAGAAAAGTTACTTCGAAGACCACGAATATTAGTGAATGATAGGTTTAGCGAACTTAGTGATGACTGTGGTTGCTAATCATGCAACTGATCTTAAAATATTTTGCCTGGGCTTGAAATATTGAGCATGAAAAATAAGATTTAATACCCCACAGTTATCTATAAACCAATCAAAGAGCTTCTGATGTGTACAAAAATCTTACTTCTACCATCTGGTTGACGACTTTCTTTTGGTAGTTATTACGAGTGTTTTTTTAATTTTATCCAGTTCATTGCATTTTTGAAATTTTCACACTTACCATAGTATTCATCTGTACATTATTTGCACAACTTTTCAATTTCTTTTTCGCGCAAAATTAACATCAGCTAAATATTATCAAAGAATTTTTGTTAAACAGAAGGCGTTTCCATTTTGAAATAAATAAATTTAGTTTTATTTGACCATACTTATACCCAATTCACACTGACAATAGAACAGGTTTAAACAGTAGCATTTTTAACACCTTTTTTATTATTTCATTCAAATCAAATTTAGAACTGCTTTTAATTCCATTCAGAAAGCTCAAAAAGCGATGTTGTTTTAATAAGACACGATTAAGACGCAGTTTATTTAAGTGCAGGTTTGATGTTAGTCTATGATGGGAGAGGCTTGTTTTAACGTTTTATGCAATGAAATATTTCGTATTTAATACTGAGAAAAGAAAAACATTGTTTCATAAAAGCGGATTTCCACTTACAGGAAAATTTACGCGGAACGAAACTGAAAAGAAAACTATTCATAAATAGAAATAACACTTTATTTTCTGTTCCGCAAAAAAACTTCCTGAAATCAGAAATCCGCCTTTAAATAATTGTGAAATAGTTTTATAAATCTATCGAAATCCATTAAAATAAACGGAGGTGGAGGAGGGGGTTTAAAAGAAATTGATAAGCAATAACTCCCTCCTCCTTTTTCCTCTTTGATTTGGTTGTTAAGAGTAAGTGTGGCTTTTCTAGGAGAAATGAAACTATTAAATTATTATAGACTGTGTAAACTTAGTATTAAATATGTGACTTACTAATAGAGACTGGAACTTATTATTTTCCCTAAATAAATTTTCTTGCAAAAGTACTTTTAACACAAAGCTATACGAAAATTCCGAATTACAGTAAAACATAGCAGCTTAAAAAATTTAAAAAAATACAGAATTTTATTGTTTATCAATTGCAAAAACGTGGAGACTTGCATAAACCAAATGGTAATTTGATTTATGCAAGTCTCCACGTTTTTGCAATTGATAAACAACGAACCACTCAAACGTCATCGAAAGTTTAAATTAAGTTTTATGTTTTATAAATATTTATTTTACATGTAATATGTATTCAACTAGACAGGTTTTTACACATTCAAATAGACACAAAGTTTTTACAATGTATGTTTATAGTGGATAAAGTAACTTGTAACAACGTCTGATTGACGTCACATCTGACGTCTGATTGACGTCAGATGTCAAATCTAAGTTGAATTTAAATCCTAAATGTTAGTTATTGTCTAAATAAAGATATTGAAACAATATTACGATATAACATTAGATTTCATCAAACTTCGTGCGAAATTTTTTAACGATAAATTTAAAAGAGAGAATCTATTGTATATATACAGAGAGAGAGAGAGGCGATTCTACAAATAAAATGAGGAGGGGGTTGAATACTTAGAAAGTACCTTTTAAAAAAAAAGGTCCTTAAAATTAAGAATTTTATTTTCACAATTGTAATTCTATTGCTTCTTATTGTAACCATAGCACTAACTAAATAATAAAGTTTACTTTAACATAAGAGTTATTAACATCAAATTTTAAAAATAAACATACAAAAGTTTGACATCATGTACAGTTTCTATGAAAAGTCTTTTGAAAAACGGTTTTAAATAGAGTTTCAAACTTTCCAGTAAAAAAATTTTTTTTTTAAAAAAAACTTCAATTTAGAGCGTTCTTTGTAATGATCATTTTCTAATGCCAACTTTTTTTTTAAAATTACGAAATACCTTTTTTAACTGTTCAAAAAGGTTTAATTTTTCAAAACACCTTTTTTCCGTTACTATGTCGACACTTTATCTTATCATGGCGTTTGATCTCTTTTTCAAAACACCTTTTTTCTGTTACTGTTTTGACACTTTATCTTATGATGGCGTTTGATCTCTTTAATGTTGAAGCTGAACATAACTTTTTACGACATCAGACTATGAATCAAAAACATGTTTACAGTTGAATGCATATGATAAATTAAAAGAAATTATTTATTGACCAATAAATTTTCTATCATTTGGTCTATTTATATTAAATAACTAAATAATTTTAGTCAATAATTAGTAAAAAAAAAAAAACTACCTTTCTACCATATTTTTATGTTTTTCTTCAAAGAAATCCCACCAACTTTTAAAAGATATGCATCCAATAACGTAATAAACTTTGTATATACCTGACTGGCATTAGTTATCAACTGTTTTAATGACTTGATAACAAAAAAAAATTCAAAAAAATATATATTACCAAAGTTCTAAGAACAAATTGGTTTAGTAATTCGTTTAGTAATTTGTAATTTCCTATTTTACTCGAAATAATAAACAGTTTAATCAAATTTTAAACAAGATTAGTAATGTCAAGTTTTAAACAACCTAGAGAGTTTATGAGTAAAATTTCCATAATCAATAAATATAATGTTCATATAAGAAAATAACAATGTAAAAAGTATAAAACAAGAATTATTATTTCTAACTTATATAAACATTATAAATCATAAAGTAAATTTGCATAATAAAAAATGAAATACTGAAAGTCAACAATTATTTCTTTCATCTAAAACACTGGACCGTGGTATTTCAGGGGCCCGAAGAAGAAAAAAGTCATTAAAAGAGCAAGTTACACACCAGTTTTTCATTGATTCAAAATTTTTTAACACATATTTATCACAAAAAATAAACTTAATCTTCTTACAAAATCTTAGCTAGGTTTATATAAAATTCAAGATCTCTTCTCTCATTTACGGACATCAGAAAACAAAGGAGAGTTAGGTAATAAATACGCTTTAGTTGGTCCAACTGATGGGCCAGTCTTGGCTATAGTTAGCTAACTATTGGCATTCAATGCCAGCTATTAACCGATTGTACACCGTGTCGTTTTGAATCATAAAAGTTTTTTCTAAATGTATTTTAATGTTTCATCGCGTGGTCTAAGTGAATAAAGTTAGTTTCATTTGAAGCAACTTATCATTTTTTTTCTTTCAAACGCTTTTTTACCTTTTAATTAAACTTTTAAATTCAAACTCTCCTTTACCTTTTAATATAACCGTTAGGCTGGTAAGTACAAATATTTCGTTTATCCATTAGTTAAACTAATGGATATGTAAATAATGGACTATAAATAATGGACTCAGATATAATTTTTGACATTTGTTAGAGTTTTTAATTTATTTTTATGATGACACCATTGTTGCATGTATTAGGTAAGTGAGTAAAAATTTTAAATTGTTTAAACATTCTTATGTTATATATCATTGGAAAGAGGATCAGTACAGTATTTAAAAGGTGAAAAAATTATAAAAATCAAACTATTGGTTCAAAAGTTATGACGGTTTAAGTACCGATTTTTCGATATTTGGAATTGTTGAAGAAACTGTGGTCAAAATCATGTTTTTCTTCACTTAAATTGTCTAACCTTGTCAGTTCTTATTAAAATACAAATATCTTGGTGTCAAAAGATAGGTGTAAGAATGGGCTACAAATTTTTGTTAAACTCTAACTACTGGGCATATCGGAGTGACAGAGGGGGCAACAAACCACCACCTTTACCATAAGAAATTGAACACTTTTTTCATAAAAAAGTCTTTTTTCAAGACATAAGTAATTTAAATATACCAAAATAAACAAAATTGTTATAAATTTATATTAAACCACCAAAGTGTATGAGAGGCGTATTTTAACGATATAGGTGGGTGTGGTGGTGATGATGATTCGATACTCCCGAGTATCAAAAATGACTTGTTTTCGTAAATATTTTTATCTTTAATAAAATAAATTCAAATAGTATACAATATAAAATTATGTTATACAAGAATTTATGTATACAAGTTATGTTACATTGACTTATAAGAGGGGTGTAGCCCCCTTCCCCCATTAACCTAAGAAAAGAAAAGATAAAATAACTACTGTTTCTTTAAGTCCCAAAACAAAGTTTTTTTCTATACAAAAAAGGTTCTATAAATTAATAAAAGACAACCACCAAGTATGGAAAGTGAATGTAAAACTCATGCTAAATGTGTTGTTAATGTTTTAACACACCCTAATATCAGAAAAAAATTTTAATTATGAAATATTTGATTGGTTATTTAAAGTACAACAAAAAGTAAATTAAATATCTAAAAGATTAAATAGCTGCATAATATACAAAATGAAACCATATTTCTATATATACACATAAAAATACATATTAATCTCTTTTAATGGAGTAAGCATGTATCAATAAAGTAAAACACCTTTACTTAGCAAATATCATTAAACTATATCATTAAAATATCATTAAACTATACCATTAAAATTGTTAAAATTTACTAAACTTTTATTAAAAAAATTACAACATTTATTAAAAAAATAAATTGTAACACTAACATAGCAAAAAAAAAATAATTTTTAATTACTAAATAACTAAAATAGTTCAAACATATCTAACGCCTTTGACATATAGGAGTAATAATAAGATAAAGACCCACTGGCTATTGTAGTTAGCGTCATATTGTAATAAAATCGTTGTCTAAAAAATTTTGATAAATAGCTATCAACTAGCTATAGTTTTGTAGATATTTTGTAGCTAGCTACAAAGCTACGATATGTAGCTAGTGACACATTGCTACGAAATCACAATGTTTAAAGTTTAATTATCCTCATAATTATAATAGGTTAAACACTAAAAATCGAATTTTTAAAAATGTTTAAGATATTAGAAAAAAATAAAAATAGAAAAAAAAATCGCTTGAAAATCGCTATAAAACTAGCTAGTCGCTTGCTAGTCGCTAGCTAATTTCCCACCGAGCTTCTTTTTTCAGTAACTTATGGGGGACCTCAAGGTTCTATCGTTGGTCCTGTTTTGTTTCTTATCTACATTAATAATCTTCCCAACAACCTTATATCTAAAGTAGCTCTTTTTGTTGATGACTCAACTTTATACTCTTGTCTTGACAAAAAGTCTTTTTTTTTCGATTGCTTAAACAGGCAGCCGATCTTGAATCTGATCTCACTTCTGTAACAGAGTACGGCTTACAGTGCTTTTTAAATTTCAACTCCAACAAAACTCAGCTATTTACTGCAAAAAAATATCGCAGTACTGTCGGCATTACTATATTAATGAATAGCAACCCTCTAACTGAGTCCTCTTCTTTACGTTTTCTTGGATTATGGTTTAATTCTGACCTTTTATGGAAACCATATATACAATCAATTGCTAAATTAGCATCTGCTAAGGTTGCTTCTCTTTATTTGTCTAGACTATATCTACTGATCTCAAGTTGAATGTATAAAATTACTAACTGATATTGTTGGCTGCTGCCATTGATTTGAGCAGCTAAAACAATATAACAAATGTGTTTCATTATTTACACTTCATGTGCTATACATAAATGTTTAATTGTAACAATGTTACTAATAATAACTATACTATATTAGTTAAATATGGCCATACTTTATTAGCATTATTTATTACCGTTTATAGATTAACCGTGAAAAAAAAACTTCAATTAACAAAAGCCTTAAATTTTAAAAAGGTGGATACTTAAGATATTTTCTATTTTTTGAATTTCTTCTAATAGAAGATCTAATCTTTTATTGACAATGCGAAGTCGTTTTTGAAGAATTTTACTAATTAGGTTATTATTATACTTCGAACAAAACATCAAGATAAAAGGACAATGGGAAAAATTTGACAGTATAAAAACATTGAATAAAACAGTAGCTTGTTTTACTGATAAGAAGCTTCTTTTTTGTGAAAGAGCAAAGCATTTACTATTCGCTTTTCCACACAGACTTTTAATATGATCATCAAATTTCAAATCCTTATCAATTGTAAGCACGAGAAGTTTAACCTTAAAGGAAACCATGATTTTACATTTCCAACCATTAAAAAATGATCTTTACAATTTTTGAAGCCAGCTAAAAAAAATTAAAATTTGTCTGGATTTGCTACCATTTTATTCAAAGTAAACCATAAAATTGCATTTGATCATGGGCCCCCGCAGGATTTTTCGATGTTTCAGATATGACACTTCCACACATAGTCCAAACTCTAAATTTAAGTATGTTCATACCTATGCCAAATGAGGAAGTCTTGCAAAAATTTGGGACGGCGGAGGCCTGGGAACAAAAAAGCCCTAAAAAGTTTGCACCCCCTGCCAAAATGTAAGGGCACTGATGTAGTAACATTTTCAACTTTACTATCTTGAACTAAATTTAAATTTATCAACAGATTTTAAATTTCATAGAAAAATTTGTAAATTACAAAAGTTATGACCATACAAAATTTCTAACCCCCTCAGGATGAGGGGGTATAAACTTTGCATGGTCATAACTTTTGTAATTTACAACATTTTTCTACGAAATTTGGGCATGGGGGTACTCAAGTTTGGGCAGGGGGGTACAAAAGTTTCAGGGCTTTTTTGTTTCCAGGCCTCCGCAGTCCCAAATTTTTGCAAGGCTTCCTTATTTGGCATAAATATAAACATACTTAAGTTTGAAGTTTGCACAAAGTGTGGAAGTGTCCATCTGAAACATAAAAAAACTGCGGGCGCCCATGCATTTGATGTTTCTATTTGAAAACGAGCAATTACACTCTCTAGGTTGTTATCAAAAACATAAAGAGTGTTGTTATCAGCATAGTTGCAGATTTTAGTTTTTTATAAATAAGAAAAAATCGTTGATAAAAATATCAACGTTATTTCATATCAGAAAACGACGTATATCATCTCTGACACCAACACAGTAATTTGTTAAGGCTTGGCTCATCAAACACTTTTAGCAGAGAACTAGATAAGTGTAACTTCGACTTATAGGGTAGAAGTTACACTTATCAGTGGGGTCATTTTTTTAAAAACATGGCCGTTTTTAAGAAGGACGGAAATTACCCTGGCGATATGCAATTATTTATACATGAAGTGAGGCTTTCTCTAAAATTCATGACATAAGTTTTTAACAAAAACATTGGAATATCTCCACTAGTCTTTTTTTTACTTTTTAAAGAATAAATAATTTTTCTTATATCATAGGAAGTAATTTGATGAAATTTAAAATTTTGTTGAAATAATTTGGATTTGTTTTTAATGTTTATAATACTGGGATGGTTTACATATCTTATAATAGCAAATTCAACAGACACATGTGCATTACAAGGAGAAGGACGATAACTCATTTCACTATTTATAGGAGACAATGCAATGTTTGTGAAATATAAGTTGAAAATGTTTGAAATTTGAAAGTTATCCGAAAAAGTTTCCCAATGTGCAATGAACGTTACGCGATTGTTCGAATTACCAGATTTATTAGAAAGAAAAGACTTGCATATCTTACTTAATAAGACTTAAATAAATTTATCTCACTAAAATACTTTTTTTTTTTTCTTTTTTATTCAAGTTCGCCACGTAGTTTCTTTGTTTCTTATAAAGAGACAAAGAAATGCCTAACTTTTCAATCTGGAATTTTTTTTTTAGTTTTGAGTGATGCATAACTGCTTTTCTAAAATTCTTAGTTATAAATGGCTTATTGTTATCTTTTTAGATTTTAGTTTTCAATGGAGCAATGATTTAAATAGTTGCTAAGGATAACGTTAAACTCAATAATGTCATTACAAAATCTCAATTTATTTTTCATTGTTTCAGAAAAAATAACACTTGAAAAGTTTTAAAAGACCTGTAAATTAATTTTTTTGGAGGTAAATTGCAGAAGGTAGTCCTGACTATTGTAAAAATAAGATCGTGGTCGTCACTAGCACCCGTACAGTAAGTCTTAGAGTGTTTCACCTAACAAACAGAAACACGTCTTTCTATTTGTTAGGTTGAGATCTATTCACGTGGATTTTACAACCGATTTAAAACAAGTTGGTGCTTTAATTAAATTACCACATTGATAAAGGCAAAAAAACTCGTTCATTGTTTTATCATGAGGTTGTAAATTAAAATCTCCGATAATTATATAATCATTATATGACTGCAATTAAAAATCAAGAATCCCTCTAAGGTTGACGAAGAAATAGTCATTTTTCTGATTAGGAGGCTTATAAAAAGCTATCATTAGCCATTTCCGCATTATTAGTTTAATTTCAAATGGTAAAATTTGAACGTCAGTGGGTATGACTACGCCATTTAATCTTTTTGAGGTAATGTTATCATTAATATACACAAGAAGTTCTCCACTTTGATTAAATATATCAAGGCGATAGGGAGTTTTATAACTTGCATATAAAAACTGGCTTATAGGGAAAGAGTCATCTTTAGTTTCACCCGTAATAAAATTATATCAACAGTTTTTTTTAATAAAATTAGTTATATCTGTGAACTTATTACGGATAGAATTAATAATGATGAAAGC